AGTTGGGGAGGAGGGGGGGGAGTCGTACGGACTTGACCAAAATCCCCGAATAATGATGTGCCCTGAGAGACTGTGACGGATAAGCAGAGTGGCTTGGGTGACAAATACTGACACCAACCTCAGTTGATGATCTTATCTTATCTTATCTTGGACCGATTATCGTCAATCTCTTTTGCAGTTCCTTAGAACCCTTACGACTGGATTACCAATCCTACAGCTCACGTAGCAAAAGCATCAAACGCCAGAAGCTCGTCCAGTGCACCTCTGGCCCCTGACTCTTGAGCGAGCCGTAAGCTCGCAGTTCAGCCGTAACCTTTCCAGGGAGGCGTTACTGAAGGTGATTTTGTACATGTACTCAGTGGGGCAATTAGGAGGACACTCTAATTCGCTGCGGACGGTTGGGCGTGTCAGGCAGTATGAGTGTGTCACGCCGTCAAAGCCGTTCTCTGCCTTCTTGTTGAAGCGCGCATGCGACAAAAGTGGTAGAAAACGAGTAATACGAACGATATGATACAGTCATATCACTTGCTCGCTTTAACAACTGGTGGAAACGGGTTTGGCACCGCGCCAAACTCATCCCGCCTGACACGCCCAACCGTCCGCAGCGAACTACACTATATCTCACACCTCTTCTTTTTTGCCAATGAGCAGTCGTCGTCAGAAACCGATTACTTGTTAAAAATACTCTATATTCCCTGGCAGCGGCCGGTACCGGCTTTGCGGCGCGACCTCCACTTGCTCACGGACAGCTGCAACAAACAGGCTGTGAATTGACTACAAAGGAAGGACAACATGTTTTGAAAATAAAGAACAGTAACAAAAAATATTAATATATTCAGAAGCTGTACATTGTTGTTTTGCTGTTTTGACTATTTGTTCACAGCACTTCTTCTGTCTGGCTGGTCTCTGTCAGGGTACAGCATCGTGATGTGTGAAATGGTAGTGTAGGTACGATCTCCCCTCCGAAAGAGGGTGTCAGTACGACCCCCCCCACCTAAATAAGGAGTCTCGGAACGATCGACCCCTCCCCCCTTCCACAAAATGTTGAACATTTTGTGGAAGGGGGACGGGTCGAACTTTGCGCCAAGCGAGTAAGGGGAGAGGAATATATAGCACACATGAAACAGGAAAATCACGCGGAAAGTCGAGAAAAATTTTACCCCAACGCAGAAAATTTCTTTCGAACGCACGTACGACCCCCTACAAATATTAGTATTGTTATAAGCATAAGTGCTGCTGTCATAAGTCTATACCGTAATCAGGGAAGAGATTCGGAAGGATTTCAATGAGTTCCATTTCAGGGTGGAAACCTGGGCGTACGATGGCAAAATGCAATGCCGCTCACAGCGCTATCGCCACAGCGTTTGTATTTACGGTGTGGAAGATTTTGCCTGGCTTGCCAAGCATCCAAAGTTGATCGCTAACAAGGTAATAAATGACGGGGATTCGAATGAGCAGCTATCAACCATGCTTCTCAGATGATGCCTTCGTTCGACTATGGCGTTGTGGACTGTGTGCATGAACTTATATTCAATCGCACTCACCTTGGGCAAACCGATCGCCTATGGGACGTGAAGATGTACGAAAGGCAGCCTCACGTGAGTGTATTTGCTACAATTCTGCTGGCAGAAACCTCAGGGAGGGGACGTTTTCCAAAGTCATGTCAATATTATGAGAACTACTGCAACGTCTTCTGAAGTATGGAATAGCGAAAGAGTACCAGCATTCTGTACTAGCTATGGAACAACTCATGAAGTTTCTGTACATCGTTACATCCGGTGCTGAAATGTGCCAATAAAAGACTGCGATCGTATTACAAGGGATTTGTCTTACGAGGAATGAAAGGGTTTAGCATTTCTTGTGAACTATACAGCTAT